TGGAATGTTCTTCCCACTCTTTCTCCCGCTGACAAAATCCTTTGAAACTCAGGTCAAATGTCACCTCCTTTGTCACCTCCTCCAGTCACTCCAGCAGAAATAATTGCTACCTTTTCTCAGCATCCATAGTAAGGCTTGGTTCATGCTGAGAGATAATACTTATCACTTCTTTAAAAGTTAATTACCACATTTCACCATTCTAACACACACATTCTTACTCATCTCTGGAATCAGGATGCACTTTGCCATTGATGGCATCTTATAGTTGGAAGCTTTTTTTTTTTCTTGTTGATACATAAAATAATGGTGTTTAAGATTCAGTGAAATACAGTATTTCATTTTTATCTCAGCATATTCTAGAAAAGCTTTTCACACTGCATTGTATAGTTAGTTGTCTATAATTCTGTGTCCTTTTTATGTGTGAGACCATAGGCACACACAAAGCCAGCAATCTGTTTGTTGAATGAAAAGATGTGTACCGTTCACTAGTACCTGAACATTTACCAAGTCATGGAAGGTAGCGTGGCAGGGAAGACCTCTGAGTGAGGTTATTCATGAGGTTTCTCACAAGGCTGAAAGAGTTACTCTTTCCTCCTGAGGTGCTGAGGCCCAGCAGACAGTGGTGGAGGGCAGGAGAGACTGGCAGAAATCTGTCTTGCATGTGGCTGTCTGTCATGTCAGTGCACATTGGGGCAGGGGAGGAGAAGGTACATGGGATTAGTTTAATGCCCAATCCTTGATCAGCAAAGCAAGCTTCATTCAATTATAACATCATTCCTATTGGGTAAATAGGATTTGCTTCTCAAGGATCTGATTTATGGCCTGGTTTTCAGGAGCATGCTGTGATAGAAAGCAGTAGCATCCCGTGTGCCAATCTTATTCCATGCCTTGCTTTCTGAGTAACAACAGTGAGTCTTTTAATTTGCTTTTTCCTAATGAAATCAGTTATTTCTCCTGCCCCTACCTCCACTCTATGTTATATTAAATAATAAAGGACACAGATAGGGTGGCATCTGACTTTAGTGATATTTCAGTTACCCATTGCCCATTTCTTAATAGTTCAGCCTTTCAAATTCCATAGGTGGTTTAGGTAAAGGCCAGTATGTTTATCTTAATCCATTTGGGCTACTATAGCAAAGTACCTTAGACTGGGTAATTCACAAACAGAAATTTATTCCTCACAGTTCTGGAGGCTGAGAAGTCCAAGAGCAAGGAGCCAGCAGATTGGTTTCTGGCAAGGACCTGTTCCTCATAGCTGGAGCCTTCTGTGTCCTTACATGGTGGAAGGAGGGCAAGACTCCCTCAAGCCTCCTTCATAAGGGCATTCATTCCATTCAAGAGAGTGGAGCCCTCTTGACCCAATCACCTCCCAAAAGGCTCACCTCTTAATACCACTACGGTGAGGATTCAGTTTTAACATTCTTTATTTTTTTTTTTTTTTTTTTTTTTTTTTGAGACATTGCCTTGCTCTGTCACCCAGGCTGGAGTGCAGTGGCACGATCTTGGCTCACTGCAACCTCTGCCTCCCAGGTTCAAGCAATTCTCCCGCCTCAGCCTCTTGAGTAGCTGGGATCACAGGCACACACCACCATACCTGGCTAATTTTAAAAAATATTTTTGGTAGAGATGGGGTTTCACCATGTTGGCCAGGCTAGTTTCAAACTCCTGACCTCAAGTGATCTGACTGCCTCAGCCTCCCAAAGTTCTAGGAGTACAGGTGTGAGCCACCGTGCCTGACCAGTTTTAACACAAATTTTAGAGAGACACAAACATTGGGACCGTAGCAGTGTCCTATCAATTTTTCACAGGCCCCTGAAATTTGGAATTACAACACAGTCAAATGCTTTGGGATGATCCACTTTATATGGCAAATGATACGCTCATACATTGTGCAAGATATTGCACTATCCTACCTGCACGAGACCCCCTGAATTCAAATGGATCTGTGGCTGTGTTTAAAGGATTGGTTGAGGAGAAAGTTTGTTCCTGTGTTCATTAGGATTGCTGAACAAGGTAACAGTTTCACAAGGTTTCCTTCAGTTTCAGGTTGGCTTTGTAAAGAATCACTATATGTACCAGGTATTGCTTTTTGTTGGATGGTTTTCCTGAGTACTTAAAGGGTATGGGGATTGCCAGACCGATGAGCATGATAAAGTTCAATTGCATGGCCATCTGGACTTCCTTTGGGGAGTTTCTTTGATTGATATCTTCATTTTGTCAGGATCCAGGAAAACGCTTAATTCTTTCATATGATGTTCATTATCTTTTAGCAAATTAGATGCCTCTGGGAATTTTCTTAAATTCCATCTTCTCCTTCAGAAAATGGATACCATCCCTTGCGATGTGCAAATAAATAAAATTTAAAAAAAATAAAAAGTTTCTTTCTGTTGAGAGTGGCAAACTCTGGCTAATAGGTCTAAGGTTAAGAAATAACTGGAGGGGTAAAAACAGATCTATTTTTTACTTCATGCCCTTCTACACTGAATTATCTTTTACCATAAGCATATATTTCTTTTATTTAAAAAAAGCTTCTTGTATCACTTTGCCATTTTGCTATTGCTTTCGTTTCTGTTTTTCTCCTTTTTAAATTTTCCTTTTGTGAAGTTTGTGTAAAGGATGATAAGTTCAGTTCATTTAAAAAAACTCCAACAAAAAAACAGCAACCAACCCACCATACTTGATTTCTACATTTACTATTGTTTTTCGTTTCAATTTTCTTTTTATCTCTGCTCTGATCTTTCCCGATATTAGATTTAATCTTATAATAAAAATAATTTTTTTAAAAGTCAGCATCTCTAAAGCTTGGGAAGGGGAGCTGTTAGGAACCCTTTAGAGAATCTGGGTGGGGGGAGGGGGTGGGCATTGTGGCCCACACCTGTAATCTCAGCACTTTGGGAGGCTGAAGTGGTTGGATCACCGGAGGTCAGGAGTTGGAGACCAACTTGACCAACATGGCAAAACTCTATCTCTACTAAAAATACAAAAATTAGGTGGGTGTGGTGGCATGCACCTCTAGTCCCAGCTACTTGGGAGGCTGAGGCAGGAGAATCGCTTGAACCCAGGAGGCAGAGGTTGCTGTGAGCCAAGATTGTACCACTGTACTCCAGCCTGGGCGACAGAGTGAGACTCCATCTAACAACAACAAAAAAGAATCACAGGGAGCTACAAATTCTCATGCAAAGGAAAAGTGCAGGCAGCTTCAGCATCATGCCCTTTCCCAGTCTGAGGCTAATATCTGTTCAGTGCAATCTAGGGTATATTACCTTTTGCATGTATCATTGCATGTAATTATCTTTAATAATTCTGTGAGGCATCTCTATGCCCACTTAGGGTCTCAAAGAGTTTGAATGATTTGTCCAACAGAGCACTGGGATACTGACAAACCTTGGATGGTAATTTTGGATTTAAGGAGCCAGCTGGTCTGTTTTGCCACACCACAGCCTGCAGGTTAAGTAAACAACTGATTTTGTATCTTTTCAAATTGACTCCCCTTTGTTGAAAGGAGGTGTTTGTTGCTTCATACCATTTCTTTGCTGGTTCTTTGGATGAGACCTGCAGCTTGCATGTTCTCTGGACATTGTTTGATGCTGAGTATGAGTCTCCAAGGTGGTCAGGTGATTTACTGGCACATTGGAGGTTCTCAAAACACAACCCAGAATAGAGTCAGAGGCTCTAGAGTTCCATCCCTCTCACTACAGCACCTCTGGCATGGGGGGCACCACCTCTGGAGGAAGGCAGGCAAGTGGAATGAGGGAGGAGACAGAGGGGAGCCAAAGGAGGAGCAGGAGACTTGCACCTGATTCCCATCATGCTGACACTTCGGGGCCCCTTGGCCTTGGTTCTTTTTAAAATGGGATGAGTGATGACTGTGAGCAATTTAAGCAACAAAAAACCATAATGAGCATTTACCATGTGCTGGACTCCATGCTTAGCACTTTACAGCTAGGAAGGGGCAAAGCTGGGGTTCTGACTGGTCTGAAAGTCTCCAGAGCCTCCAGCTCTACAAACTATACCCTCCCACCCTGACTGTGAGGCCCTAACAGGCCCCCTCCAGAAGACTGGCAGCAGATCAAAAGGAATGAGAAAAGAGATGCCCTGCCCTTCCACATACCTCTGTTCTCCCTTTGGTGAAACCTTTGTTGACAAAAGTCTACATTTCCCATGTTTATGAAAATAATATTATGATCAATGAAAAATTAATGTTCTGTATCTATTCTTAGGTGTTTGAGGTCTCCCAACCCATGATGATAACGTGAACTATTTTGAAAGAAATCTCACTCATTTTGGGTTCATTCTTCCCTAATTCACATAACCAGAGTGGTCATTTGGGCTTGCTTCAATTTTAAAAGATCTTTTCATAGGTGTGGTCTGGAAAGTATATTCAAGATGGAGAGCAAGGTGATCACCCCTCATTGTGACAATCTAATCATTTTGGTACTGGCCACTTCTGACTCGCCGCTGCCCGCTCAAACATCATGACCTTTGTGCTTCTTTGTACATACAAAATCCTCCCTTTGGAAAGCTTTCCCCACCAACTTTAAACTCCACCCACTTTTCAGGACCCAGATGAAACTCCACCTTCTCTGTGAAGCCTTCCCCAGTGTCTCTCTAAGGAGTTGGCTCCTCTGTCTTCTACATACCCTCAGTTCTTTATCTCCACCTCCTACGCGGCCCTGAGCACTTTCCACCTGCACTAGCACTGCTAAGAATCAGAGCCACCTCTCTACCACACTGTGTCTATCCTTTGTCTCCTCTTAAGCCCAGTCCAAGGCCTGGAATATAGTAGGTCCTCAGAGATCAGTTGAGACACATTGGCAATACCCAAGACTCATCTTCCACACACTCTATAATTTCTCCTATATGCCCATCAGCTCTCAGCATCCACTGGGTCCAATTTGCTCTCTCTCTCTCTGGTTCTCCATGTACTCTGTCCTTTTCAGCTTTGTCCCCAATCTTCACTTGACACTGAATGTTTTGGTAATCTACTGCTGGCATAACAAACCACCCCCAAATGTTATTGGCTTAGAATAACCACCACTTTATTTGCTTATGACTGTAATTGGGGCTGGCCTCAGCTCCAAGTTCTTCTCCTGGCCTTCAAAACGGCATGGATGTGGGGAGACACAGTTCGCAGGGGCCACCAATGTCACAGACATCTCACCATCAGTCAGGGCTATCCGAGTCTGTTTTTCTCCTACGAATGGAGCTCCTTGAGGGCTGGGGTTGTGTCTCCAGAACCAGCAGAGTTCTCAGCAGAGTTGGGGGCTTGGTGAAGAGGAAATTCTCTAAACAAAAGTCATGAAATTCCAGCTCTGGATCAGTTTTGTCCCATATGACTTTGTGCCAATCCCTGCCCCTCTCTGCACCTGCTTCCCCATCTATCATCATGAGAGGCTGAACAGATCTTTCAGCTCCTTTGAGTGTGGCTGTCATCCTGTGATTTTATAGGGCTGAGTCCAGCATCCTTGATAAGGTTCCTGAGGCCTCAAGGGCCTCCCACAACCCACTTTTCCAGCGACAGACCCCAGGCCCCAGACACATTCTACTTCTTGCTGTTCCCTGGATAAACAACTTCTCAGCCTCCATTCCTTTCTTAAGTTTTTCCCTCTGCCTGGGTTATCACATTCATCCTTTGAGAATAGAGTGTACATTGCTTTCAACCTCATTTGCAGAGCCTGGGTAAACCACCTCTTCGGTTAGAGACAGAGTCAAGGCCCTTTTCCCCTTTCGTTTTCCCCTTCATCCCTAATTTCCATTCTTCTCCCAACCTCCATCATGGTCACTCCTCCCATGTGCCGGATATACGTCACATATTTATCTATCCTTATAAAATATTCATTCCTCTAGCAGTAAGTGCCCATGGTACCTCTAACTCTCCATTTTTACAAACAATGCTGTGAACGTCCTTGTACATCTTCCCTTGGGGGCCTGCAGGAGAGTTTCTCTGAAGGATATATATTCAGGCTTGGGACTGCTGGATCACAGGTATATTCATCAGCCTCATAGAAAATAGAAACTGCTTGAGTATGTAACACAGGGAGACTTAAATGCAGGGAACTAGTTACTCAGAGGATGGAAGAGGCAGCCATCTACAACAGCAACAGCAGGAAACTGTCCCCTTCCCCAGGCTGGAGAGACAGAGGAGAGAGGTTAGCTGGTAAAGCTGGAAACCCAGCTGAGCTGTTTGGCCACAGCTGGCCCTTTGGAGATGCCAACTGAGGCCAAGGGAGGAGGAGAACACCCTGGCTTCTTCCTTCCTCTGACAGTCTGCAGAACTTCTCATATTTCTTGTGATGGGAGCGAGATGGTAGAATAGGAAGTCCCAGGCTCTGATTCAGTTCTTACCCTAAGCCAACACAGCTCAGTGCTGACAGAAAAAGTATCTTCAGTGCCTAGAACACAGTGACTTCTTCCATGAAGAAGACGAGTAGAACCCATTAGGGCCACTCAGTGGAAGTCAGATGACAAGAAGCCTGGGAAACACAGGCTGGAGGGACCAATCCCCATGACACAGCCTACAGCAGGAGGAGGGCAAAACCCATCTCGGGGCACACAGGCCTGGGGTGCTGCACCTCAGGCAGGCACATACACAACTTCCCTTAAATATGCCAGAGTGCTTTCCAGATGGCCATGCCAGCGAACATGATCCACATCTTTGCCAACATGCAGCATTATCCACCTTTGTCGTTTTTAAAATTAGTGGGTATACAGTGGATCTTACTGTAATGTGCACACCTCTCAGTTACTGCTAAAGTTGAGCATCTCTTCCTATGCTTGTCGAATATTCAAGTGTCTGTTTCTGTCAATGACCTTTTCTTGGTTTGCAAATATTTCTAGTTACTAACCCCTTATTGATCCCGTCCGATTTAGATACTGCAAACATCTTCCCCCATCTGTTCACATTGTGTTCTTCATTTAAAAATAAATCTTTAATTTTTACGTAGTCAAGTCTGTTATTATTTGCTTTAGGGCGTTGTATGTCTTGTTAAGAAGTTTAGCTCCACTTACCAGCTCTCTGACATCCCCGGGTTCCTGGATTGCAATTCTATAATCCTACACCTGTAGAAGGAAGAAGCTTGGTTCCTTCTCCAGATCTTCTACACCAGGCGTCCCCAAACTATGACCCGCGGGCCGCATGCGGCCCCCTGAGGCCATTTATCTGTCCCCCCGCCACACTTCAGGAAGGGGCACCTCTTTCACTGGTGGTCAGTGAGAGGAGCACAGTATGTGGCGGCCCTCCAACGGTCTGAGGGAAAGTGAACTGGCCCACTGTAAAAAGTTTGGGAATGCCTGTTCTATACGACCCAGCTTCAAGCTATTTTCTCAGATAGAGATGTTCTCTACCTGTGTTTCCCAGGCTGAGTATTCATCGCTAAAGAAGACTTCGCTTTCTGGGGTGTAAACTTCCCAGAGAACATACTAGACACTGTCAGCACAAACAGTATCACAGTTGAAAACAGCAAGGAAGAATATTAAGGAAAGATGCATGAAACAAAACAGGTTTCCAAACCAGGTGCCTCTCGAAATTGCAAGAAAAGGAAACAGTAAAAAGTTGAAAGTGAGGACTTCTCTGTTCTCACCTTTCTCAGGTGTCATGTCTCAAGGGAACAAACATGCCTCAAATTGATTTTCATTCCTCTAATTAAAAAAAAAATTCAGAAAGTGATACATATCATGGTTGTGGAAAGACAGAAAGAGCTTTGAACTCAGATGTCAGACAGGCACCAGTCTAATATGGAGTTAACTTGTAATCTTTCTACAAGTCATCACACCTGTTGGAGCTGAAGTTTCACCTGGCCCGGAAAATGCAACTTACCACATACACTTCTCCTTAAGAAGCTTCACTCCGAGCGTGGAAATGGAAGTGCTTTACAACTTTTCCAAAATTTTTAAGCCCCTACTAAGTGCTAGGCACTGGGGATACTTTTTCTCATTTAATCTTCATAACCACCATAGAAGGACAAATTTATTATACCCATCTTACTGTTGGGGAGACTGAGATCCAGAGGTTCAGAGAGATTAAGTAACTTCCTCAAGCTCACATAGCTAGGATTGTTATGCCCCTTCCCTTAGCTGGATTGGAAACATGGAGCTCTCTGCTTTGGGGATCTTAGCTTTTATGTTTTGTGTTTGTCAAGTTCTTTCAGATTGAAACAACCCATTTTCCTGCCCTGGAAACCAGATTAGAAACAAATTTCAGATAGCGCTTTCCAGGTCTTCCCTCCCTGCAGCTGAGGCGGTTCTCCCCGCTCTGGCAACCCCAGAGATCTCCAAACCCAGCTGCAGAGGCTCAGGGGGTCCCCCGAGACAGCTCTGAAGTGGTTCCCATAGCTCCTAGCAAGTGGAAAAGGGATAGGACGACCTTGCCTATCTCAAGGGGCAGGAGCGAGCCCTAGAGATGTAGCTTCCCATTAACACAATAGGACCCAGCCACAGCCCTCAGCAACACACAGGGAAGGACGTTGCCCAAGAGGGAGGCTTTCCCTGAGCCCTGGGGGGCTGGGAGATTGTCCAGCTCCACAGCCCCGACTCCACTTCCAGGAGATGAAGCTGCCTGGCACTCCACTGGTGGACACCCGACGGAGGTGTTGAGGGCACAGCCTGGGTGTCCGAGGACGTGTTGGGGTGACTTGGAATAAACATAGCATGAAAGGATAGGTGCCCTGGCAGCTACCCTCAGGTGTCACCTGTTAACTCAGGCTAATGATCCTGAGGCCATGACTGGGGATGGCAGGCTCAGGTGTTGCTCTCCCCTTGAGACTGGATAGAGACCATTTCCCTCTGAGCTCCATTCACGGGAAACTCCCAGGTCCCAGTCGGCAAGCACTGAAGGACCCAGGGCTGATCCCTCTCAAGTTCATGTCAGCGGGGGAACAAAGCATCAGGTGACTCCAGGAGCAATGAATTTCCTTTCCTTTCTTAGAAAATGATTATCAAGTCATAGAATGTCAAAGCTGCAAGAAACCTCAGAGATAGCGACATCAAACCTGCCTGACAGTGCACATGGGAAAAATAGGCTCAGAGAGGGCAAGCAAGGATGCTCAGCACAGCAGATGTCACCCTGAGCCTACATTCCTACCGATGCTGTCTGCTTACATCATTCCTAGCAGCCCCGTGAGAAAAGTCCTCACCCCAACGAGACCTCTGCCAAATCAGGGGCTGCGCTGAACTAGGGATATTCCCCTGGATCTTGAAAATCTTAAGGCATAGCCCTCTTATTCCTAACATTTCACCTTGAACCATTTTGTCTCATGTTGTTTACAGAAATTTTGTTTCTCCAAAGAAAACAACAAATAAATGATGGCTTCCTGTATGAAATCCCTGGGAGGTGTAGGACTGAAGAAATACTCTGCTTCTCCTCTTGTAGATCCCATGGGGAACCACAGAAATCCCAAGGCTAATGTTTCCTGGGGAGCATCACTACAATGCTGGAACAAGTATCAAAGGAAGATGCGATTGGTGGAGTGGAAAAATAGTACATTTAGAGCTGAGAGACTTAGGTGCAAGTTTGTTTTGTCACTGATCTACTGTGTGACCTTGGGCCAGCACCTTCTGGTTCTGAGTGTTTATCCCCCATCATTTGGAGGAAAGAAGGGATGCTCTCTAAATTCCCTTCCAGCTTCAGCATCCACTGGGACCCCAGGTCTCCCCAGTGCTGTCCCTGGGCACCACCTCGAGTTCTCCTCCTGAGCTTGCAAAGCCTGGGAAGAGAAGAGGTTGGGTGCTTGTCTTCCGTTTAAGCTCAGACGTATTAAGTGACTTGTCCATATTTCTCTGAAAGTGATAGCCAATGAATAAGGAGTTCCTGAGGCGCTTTGTCCAGATCTGACCATGGAAATCGGGAGAAAGACAATCTCCAGATTGCCTGGGTTGACGCTGCTGCTAGAGGATGATGTTAATTCTGCTGTTTGCAGAAATAAGTCCACTGTGAGTCGAAGCTTTTTGGTGTCTAAAACCAGATGGTATTTCCTGCCTTGATCAGCCTCAGAGCTTTGGTTCCCATGGCAACCCTGAAGTTTCACCTACTGCAACTTCCCCGTTCTCCAAGCTTCTTCCTCTTCCACCACTGTGCTGGGTCCATGGAGAATAAAGTCACTAACCAGCATGTGCACAGCATTTGACAGTTTACAATATACTCCAGCAGTTATTACCTCATTTAATCATCACCACAGCTTTGCCAGATAGCATTTGCTAAACCCCCATTCTGCAGATGGGAAAACTGAGGCCTCAGAGATGAGGTGATCTGTGCTTTCAGCCCTTGATTGTGTAGGTAGAAGTCAAACCCAGGTTTCATGATTTGGGACCTCCACTGCGCCAGGATGAATATGAAAACCCTGCCCTGCAGATAACCTACTATGCTTAGGATTCCTAAATGGTCATTTCCACAAATAAATCAGACTTAATCAAGGTACGGCAACTTCAGGCAAGTTACTTGACTTCTCTGTGCCTTACTTGGCTCATTTGTAACATGGGTAGTAATAACGGTACCTCTGGGTGGATGAGAGGATTAAGCGTTTGTAGAAACCACAAGAAGTGCTTACTAGGGTTGAAGGGAGACCTGAGAAGCAGGGTGAGTCTCAGTTCTGCCCTACTTATCTGTGTGACTCTGGGTGGGTCATCCTGCCTGCGGAGCCTGCTTTCCCCGGTGTAGGAGGGAACAGCACCACAGTGCTCACACACATACGGTGCTTGAGAAGATGAATGTGCCACCTCTCATGCTGCAGTGCGCGTACGCATCCCCCGGGGACCTTGCCGGGCCTGCATTTCTAACAAGTGTCCATGGGCAACACGTAGAGTGGCAAGGCTGTAGCTAGGCATGCCCCACACAGGTGTTACGAGTAATCAGTCATGCAAAGAGCCATGCCTCCAGCAGTAGAAAGCTCAAGAAGCTTAAAGAGTCCACTGTGGGTGAGCAGGAGCCCCTGTGAGGGGGGTTATCAGGGTGTGAGATTTCTGTCTGAAGGGCTCCTTCTGCCCAAGCTCTGCAGTCTGCACAGCCTGGAACTTCTACAAGGTTCTGGTGAAAGCTGTCCCTGATCTCGCTCTCAATAGAGGACATAAAAACATCAATGTGTTACATCTTGCACAACAAAAACGTATTTACTGGTAATGACTTGTGAACACTTTAAAATAAACTTTAAATTAAAAGCGAAGTCAGTGTGACCCAGGAATTAAGTGGGCGATGTTAAGTACATGACAGAAAGGTGATCCACGCAGACCAATCATGCGGCTCTGAAATCCAGCCTGCACTTCGTGCTTCCCCCCAATCTCCTTTGCGCCACATTCTTCCTTATGTGACTACGGTTTGTAAACTAAATTGTGTGTGTTTATTGCTACCTAATTAACAAGTATTTGCCATTCATTCTTCCAGTGAGCCTGGCTGGTGCATCCCTGGGCCTTGCCACAGGTCCAAATCCCAGCTCCTATGCCTGCTGTCAGCTGCAGGGGCACTGTGGCTGCTGATGAGCTCCTATGCTCTCCAAGGAACAGTGAGAGAATGAATGATTAAAAGTGTCTGTGCCTGATGATCACCTCCAAGTGCCAGGCACTGTGCTGGGCACTGCTCACAGCAGCCCTGTGAGCCAGGGTATTGTGACTCCAGTGGATCACAACCTCCTAGAGGGCAGGGAATATGCTCTGCTCCCTGGTGCGTCCCCCGTGCCTACAAGGGTGTGTCATCAAGGTCTGCTGCATGAACCTGCTCGCCTACCTAAGAAAGGCTGTCAGCACCCCACATGGCCACCCAGCCATATGGCACCCATGAAGCCACCCCACAGCAGCTGTAGCGACAATGGTGTGCAGCCTCCAGCTCTAGCTCTTTCTTCATCGCCAAGGTTCCCCTCCACACACAACACAAATAAACGAAACCTGTTGTTTAGTCTCTGCAGCTTGTTCACAATTTGGAGAGGACGGCTTCTGAAAGCTATAAATAGCTTGGCGATTCTCCATTTCTTTTAGGAATTCTCACAAGTGGCCTGGCACGGCAGCTCATGCCTGTAATCCCAACACTTTAGGAGGCCGAGGCAGGAGGGTCGCTTGAAGCCAGGAGTTCAAGGTTG